AAGAAATAAGATACTGTTAATTTCCTCATCCGTCGTGCAAAATGATAACTTCTAATAAAAGTATACGTCTTTTTGTAAATCCCCATCTGTATTATCTATTATTAGGAAAGGGAATTTTTATTTTGAAAATTTTATAAATAATTACTGCTCATAATTTACTATATTTATCATTGACAATTTTCCTACAAGGACCACTTCAAATAGCAAAACTTGTTATACAAGGAAGATAACAAAAAGGGAGGAAATGATCCATTTATTAATCGTGTATTAAGTCAATAAGCAACACAGATTATTTAACATCCCAGTTGTTATTTTAAGTATCTTATATTCTCTATATAAAACATTAAAATAATGATTCTTTTTAGACAAATATACTTAAGTTAATATAAATTTCATTGACTAAAATAATCAAGTTGTTGATTAACGACTTATATATAAGACACTCTTTCATCTAAAATGAAAAAAAAAAAATTCAACTAAAAATGTACCTTTAATTCATAGTTAACGCACATATAAATTTACTGAAACAATAACTTCCGTCTAAAATGCAGAGGACGTGATGAGTTTCCGAAATTTTAACGTAAGAAATTTATTTATATCTGAGGTACTGGGCATCCAAACATTGCATACTTACGTATCCACACACATATTTTTTTTTCTGTCGTCTGCTTTTGATTTGAAAACAATGATTTGCAGTCAAACTTTTCTTTTTTTTGTCAATTGAAGTTATAAATCACGAGGATATATTTTTTTAAGATATAGAAATTTGTAGTTATCCTAAAAAGATTAAAACTGTTGTTAATGACAATGACTCTTGAAAAATTTATTATGCCCCAAAATAAAATAAATACTGACATAAAGTCTTAGAATTTTGTCCTGTCTGTATGTTCGCCAAAAAAAAAAAAAACAACTTTTGATTGGTTGGACCTATACCTTTTCTGTACAATATTGTGTATTCATTGTGACAAAATATTTCTTTGAGTACCAACTTATTAAATTTTTTACATTGACCTTAGAATTCACTCCACTTTTACAAACTTTTATAGAATTTTAACCTTGGCCAATTACTTTCAAGGAGTTAATTGGTGCCATTTTTTTTTGGGGGGGGGGGGTGTTAAAAAAATCAAACAAAATAAACTTCGTTCTCACAAAAACAAAATTTGCTCCCATGAAATTGTATCAAGGAAATTTAATTATTCCCACGAAATCAGAATTTCTTTTTATTTTGCAACTTTAATTTTGTGTGACAAATTATAAATTTTGTTAGAACAATTCTTTTGTGTGGAAACGGATTTCATTTAGTTGAAACTGATTGAAAAAACAGCACAAACATTTGTTCTAAAGAAGCCATGAATATAACAAAAAATAATCAATAATCTAGAATTTGCACAATCTTACATGTAGTTTGGTAATAGATACAGTAATTTGGCACTGTTTATCACCTTATTTTTCATATTGAAATGTCACGTTTGTGTATATGTCTTCTTTGTATTTTGATAACTGAGATATATTAAAAGGAAAGGAAAATATTTTTAAAATTATACTCGTTTAGTAACAAATGTAACAATAGTTTTCTGGCAATATTGAGATTTGATAATTATACTTTTTTTGATATGGTGACAATGTGAAACGTTGTGTTTTAGGATAGGGTATTCCCACTAATTGTGGAAATAGCTTGCATGTTTAGGAAAAAAAAACTTTTTCATTTAAATTTTTCTTTTTAGCACTTGCGTATTTTTTTTTAATTTATGAAGGGTACTTTTATCCATATGTAGTGTACACATGGTGTCCTTCAATTTGTCATGATAGACTGTTATTGATTTGGACTTAATCATGTTGATGCAATACAGTGTAGAATAAGAAGGAGAAATCTCTATAGACTATTAAGATTGATTACCGTAAAACCGTTTGTTATATTTAACCCTTTGTTATAGGTAACCGTTTGTTATATTTAACCCTTTGTTATAGGTAACCGTTTGTTATATTTAACCCTTTGTTATAGGTAACCGTTTGTTATAGTTAACCCTTTGTTATAGGTAACCGTTTGTTATAGTTAACTGCGTAGTTAACAATATCGTCAACTATATTTTAAATGTCAAGGCTAAAAAAATAATCAAAAGTGTATCTATTCAAACCTTACCATTTTCGATACAGGTAAAATGGATGGGATGTTATGCGAGGTGTTTCTTGGGTGTTTAAAAAAAAAACTTTTTGTTTCCATGCGTTCACTACATTTAGATGTTACTAAACTCAAAAAACTAAGTGAGTATGAAAATGCGGAGTATATTATATTTTAGGTCGCCGGATTTGTCAACACAGAACACAAAAAAAATTAAAAGCTTGTCCAGATTTTTTTTTTAAGAATGCACTACAAGATACTAGAAATTACTGCAAGTTCACTTACATTTACTGTAAGTTTAACAGTGTTTAAGCGATTAGCCTCGAGAACCAAAATATCGTGTAACGACTCCAATATGGGATAGCTACAGAATGATAATTTTCCCTCTTGATTGGAACCTAACATTACATGCAAGTTAAGGGTACACATTGGAAAGCCCTGGCCCCGGGATCGTGAAACATCTTAAGCTTAATTCAAAATCTATATACTTTACTTAAATTTTACACAAAGCAAACAGATCAAGATTGAAATGTGTTTCAATTTTCACAAAAAATGTTAATAGTTGCAAAGTTTTAGTTCAATGCAATATTCTAATGCAATTGTTTTGTAAAACACTTTTTGATTGGCTAATTCACTGATGTTTGAAGCAGTAAAACGAGCATTAACGAGCGTGAAAGCTTTTTCATTGTGACGTCATAATAGAGCGACGCAAAACACAATGCTCCGTGACGTATTTCATGTACCAGAATTCGTCAAAATAAGACGTAAACAACAAACAAAATGCATGAATTGCATTAGAATGGGAATAACTGATCTTTTAATTTGGTATTTGGGACCGTTAATGCTGATTTAAATAATACGCGTCGCCGTTTTACAATATGCTCACTCAGTATTCGTTACAGCGGATATCGGATTCAGTGATACCAGGTATTTTTGATGCGTCCTAAACGTCAATAAACTTCTGACTTCAAATAATAGTTAACTTATCCATAGTTTTCTCATACGATTGTCTGACCAGCCCCCCCCCCCCCCCCCAATTTTTCCAGTTATGTTCTGTGGTCTTAAATTAGGTGTTGACAGGTTAAAGCATTTTCTAAAGTATTCTTTATACATTCATATACTATTAATTATATTATTGTATAAATATAGAGAATATCGCCTTGAACACCAAAGTCGGTATTAAATGCCATCATTTCCTTATTCTTCTGATTTTTTTTCGATGGCTTACTTTTCTAAATACTCTCAGGCGGTTGATATTCCAAATGATGGTGTTGTAGAAGCTACAAAAATGACAGAGACAACGACAAAGTAAAGAAGAAATTTAACAACATCAAACAAAGAGGTATCAATTTTTTTTTTTTTTTGATTTAGTCGGTTAATTCTTGTAGGTTTCATTTAGACTTTTGATGATTATTTTAAATTTATTTTGATGATTTCCATTTGTTTTTTGCCAGTACAAAACTTCATCTAAACGTTTATTGTTGTCATTGTTGTTATCATTTTGGTTCAAGTTTATGCAAAACGGAAACGGTGTCGTATCATCGTTTCTGAAATTTGGGGAGGGGTAGTCAGAGAGAGAAGGGAGAGAAAGAGAGAGTGAGGAAAAAAGGAATATCCAAACTCGAAAATCCTATTTGGGAGAGCGTTGGGGGGGGGGGGCAACCTGACTTTCATTGCTCAATTAATTTCTATAGTATAACGTTATGTCTGGAAAAAGGGACACCCCCCGGCCCATGATACGTGCTGAGAAATACAAATACAGTTTACTGTTAAATACATAAAAGGTAATACCATGGACACAATTTTTATGAAGTTTTTTGTTTTCGCTAAAGTAGTAAATTGGAATGGACATTGTTGCATGAATGAAGCAAATTACATTTTTTTCTGGATGAATGAAAATGTATGAAAAATCGTAGGGCTCATTTTCGTAGGTTAAAGATATTTTTTTTCACGTTATAACGAGATTTAGAAACAGGAAAGACACACTCAATTACAAGAAAACTTATAATTATTGCTTGTGATGGTCCAAGATAAAGATAGCCTTTAATCTTCATTGTATTGAATAAACTAGACCACAAACAAGAAAGTGGATACTTATGCAAATGTCTTGGTTAAACAGCAAAAGTTTCCCGTTATAACACGAAAGTTTCGCTCTAGAGTTAAAGTTACGAGTTATTTTGCGAATTCTTTTAATCCACGAAAATGAGCAAAATGGGCTTTCGTAACTGATTTGTCTTATCTAAGCCTGCTCAATAAATGCAAATTTATAAAGATATATTTAAAATAAATTAAGAGGACATGTATTGACCCAGGTAAAGAAAAGATTGACATGTTGAGAAGGCCAAAGACAGGTGGTGGTCCGGCGCCTTCTTCCCTAACAGCTTCCGAGGACGCTTTGATGCAGGCCTTTGAAGGGCGACCACAGATATGTGGACTGCCGGATGGCATAGACACGGACGCAACTGATGGTACAAACAAAAATAAGATGAAGCTTTCTATTTCAAATTTTGCTCAACCTTCTTATTTCACAAAAATTTAAAATTCTGTGTATAAATTTAACAGAAATTGACAACGGCACGGCTTCTGTCTGTACATCTTCTGCCGCCTGTACATCTTCTGCCTGTACATTTTCTGCCACCTGTACATCTTCTGCCTGTACATCTTCTGCCATCTCTGAATCTGCTACCCCCAAGACTGCAGCCACTGGCCATCAAGTCTCTTCTAAAAAGCCAAAGAGAAAAGGAATCAAGGATGCGTATGAAGAAGAAGATTTGGAGAATATGAAACTGGATAATAAAAAAATTAAGCTCCAAATTGAGAAATTGATAATTGAAAAGCAAAAACTACAGGCAGAAAAGGAGTTAATTGAAATTAAGAAGGCGTTTTTGGTCCGTCAGTTCGAGGAGCGATATCCAAATTCGATTATTTATACAAGCAATTCAAGTCTGGGTAATGAGTTGTAACGTTAATTGTTTCAATTACGAGTGTAATTTTCTTGGAAAATTAAATGTACATGACTGTATTTAAGAAAAAAAAATTACATGAAACCTATAATACTGGTAAAAATAAATACTAATACATATAACGTTAACATTTATCTGTTAATTATTGCCAAAAGCTATTTTTAAGGCATAACAGCATTTAATACTGTGTTATGAAATCTTATATCTTATCTGGCGAAGGGTACCTGTAAAATGTGAAACGAAATAAAAATGAAGTGAAACAATTAAAACGCCACATCTTCCGAAACAAAACGAAATCAAGGCCTAACGAATCGAAATCAAAACGAAACCTACCGAAAGCAAACCAAACTATCAGAATCACAAGCACTTGGGGTATGGATCCCCCTTTCCATATACAGGTACAAGGGAGTGCAGCCCCTGTAAATATATACATCACTAGGAGTAGTATAAGCAGCCTAGATGGCGGGTTCAACTGAGTGCACTTTTTATGCAAATGAGGTCAAAAATGGTGGATTCTGATTGGCTAGGGGGATAGGTGGGTCAACTGAGTGCAGCCCCTGGGGGGATAGGTGGGTCAAGGGAGTGCAGCCCCTGTGGGGGATAGCCGGGTCAATTCAGTACATATGTTGCATCATCTTTTAGATATCTATTGCATCATCTTTTTGATACCTGTTGCATCATCTTTTTATATCTATTGCATCATGCATCATCTTTTTAATACTTATTGCATCATCTTTTTTGATACCTGTTGCATCATCTTTTTATACCTGTTGCATCATCTTGCAAAAATAGGTTGGACTTATCTTTCTGTAAACTATCTAGTCAGCGAGCTTACCTATGCATTGTGACGTCATAAACTTGGCAGCGACGTCATGTTAGTCCTTCACAAGCCGCGATGGCTGCTTATTTTGACACAATAACACAGACTTTCACAGCGCTTGAGACTTCATGTAATAACAGTATGGTCCTATGGATTTCAGTACCAAAACTGATTTTCTACCGTTTTTCTTCCAAGAAAGTTCTGAACAGCTGAATCCTGGATCAGCCTAGATGTTATTTCACTGGATTATTTAATGAATATTACTCTACTGAGTTACCTGGTTACATGGTAAGTTTTAACAAACTTTTCTTTATACATTTTCTATGAAGGTCATCTTTGTATTTATTCATTATTACTGTGTTATATACCTTATGTTTAGAACATTCATATAAACACTGCCATTGTTTACCCTGAAATACACTAGGACACTAAAAGATCCTCAAAATGTTGATAAATCTTTTTTGCATGAGTTATGATCATATTGTCTCACATTCCTTTTATTGGATCAGTATTCTAAATATTCTTATGAGGAGACTCCTAGCATATCTTATAAAATACTGATACATGCTTTTAAAACAACTAAAGTGATATTCTCAGTTGTCATTTCTAATATTTCTATGAATCTTTAATCACAGTGACCAAAAGAAGGATATGGAGATAATCAATCAGATCATATTATGCCAATGAATCTTTTGTCTCAAATCTTTTTTAATGAAATATACAGAATCTTTTGCCTTATTTGTCACTCATATTTTTACATTCTGGTGCAACAGTGGCCCAATGAAAGTGGGAAAAACTCAGTCTGAGCATCTCTGTAAATCTATAAACATGTGTGCCCCCCCCTTTTTTTTTTTTAAAACCTTCATGTATATACATGTATGTATTTTATTTAGTCAGTGATTTCAAACATCAACATGTAAAATATATATTGAGTACTTTAAAAGTGAATATACATGATTTGTACACCCTGAATATTCTGACATACTAATGGTGACATCAGTTAAAAGAGTAATTAGTTATGTAAAATTCAGTTTATATGAATGTAAATGGGGTATTTATTCTCAGTTCATGTAAGGTATAATTTGCATGTAACCCAGAGTGTATTTAATATTACTATGATGGGTCATTCTGTGATTGAATTTAAATCAGAAAAAATGTTTACTAAATTTTGGTAAAATACATATGGTATCTTTTACATTTCTGTCCTGTTTGTCTGTCAATTGTTGCTTTACTTCCTTTGTAAAATGAGGTTAATTTGTGTATCACTGAATATTGTATGCTTTTTTTCAGGATCAGCTGAGATGTTATTTCACTGGATTATTTAATTGGGCATATAATTGGATAATTCTGGTAAGTTTGTCTTTGTTTTGTTTACATTTCCTATGAAGGTCATCTTTGCATTTAACCATGATTATATGGTTTAATTTAATTACTGTGTAATTCTTATGTGATCTAATATCTCTAACATTCATATAAGCACAGTCTTATTTTGTCTAAAATATACTAAGGAAACTTCATATTGTTAATAAGTCCTTTTGCATAAATTATGATATAATGTCATAATTCATTATGTCTGTTACCCATGGAATTCAGACTTACTAAATTGTGATCTATAAGGAATGTAATAAAAGAAAAAGTAAGAATCTACAAAAGGTTTATCCTTGTTTTGATTCTAAATATGTGGTATATATGGCATACATATATTTTCATTTTCACTTTTGTTTCTTGGTAATGAGCTTTTCAAAAAATGTAGGACTACATGTTGTATATGCTAATATCTTTTTGTATGCTGTACTGACAGGTATTAAACAAAATTGAATATGCTGTTAAGAGAAAGTCTGTTAGTGTCTAAAAATTACACTGATAATCATTTTGTATTTGTGATATTAATACAGTAACTGTGCTTCTTTTGTTATCTAAAGATAACATGATGAACTATTTTCATGAACTTTTTGGCACTGTATTTAAACATGCAATGTTTCATGCAGTTCCTTGTCATATTAACAAAATGATTATATTTTCTACAGTCCTCAACCTGGAAGATATGTTTTATTCCCAACCATCTATAATCCATTCTCTATGAAGTTCAGCCTGTCTGCCCAAATTCCTTTGGAAATACATAGTTAGTCAACCAACATAGAAACAATCAAACTTGAAGGTAAAGTTTCAATGAGATATCATTTTCATTTATTTAATTCTGTTTTATTTAAATGTTTATATTTTAAAATGGATAAAAAAAAATGGATAAAAAACATCTGATAATGGAAATCAATATCATAAAGATAGTAAGTTTTTTAGTGTCTAAATAATTAATCTGATAATCATTTTATTTATGATATTAATACAGTAGTTGTGCTTGTTTATTATCTATAGATAACATGATGAACTTTTCTCATCTGGAGTTAATGTTAAAAACAATTTTTTGAGATTAAAAACAAATATTTTCATGATCTTTTTTGGCATTGTACATGTTGTATTTAAACATGCATTGTTTCATGCAGTACTCTGTCATATTAACAAAATGGTTTTATTTCTACAGTCCTCAACATGGAAGAATTGGTTTGTTCTTAACCATCTATAATCCATTCTCTATGAAGTGAAGCCTGGCTGCTGGTCTTCCTTTGGAAATACACAGTTAGTCAATCAACATAGAAACACACAAACTTGAAGGTAAAGTTTCAATGAGATACAATTGTAATTTTTATTTATTTATTTATTTATTTACATATGCATTTTTATATTTTTGAATTGATAAGTAAATGATATATGATTTTTTTAAAATAAAGAGGGCTTGGTGGTCATGGTCATGTTTAAACTCTATTGATATCCTTTAGAAGAAGAAGAAAAGGCATAAAAATTCATGATCAAATTTTTAAAACTAAAATGTATGAAATTTTTCTTTGCCAAATGATAGTTAACAGCTGAAGATAACATATTTATAGAATAAGTTAAATATGGCTAATTTGTTAACCCCAGCTTCCTTAATAGCATAATTGGTAAAGATAGGAAGTTTTGACTTCAATTGCTGATGAATTCTGAATTTTCCATTTAATATTAACATTATATCAAAGAGAAAGAATACTATAATGTGGCTCATTAGGATGACCAGAAAAGAAATCTTAATGACCCTCTTAACTATGTATAAAGATTGTAACCTTATAACTGATGTAAGATGATCTGATTGTGTGGAAATAAAATTTCCTGGTGTTTCTACTACCCAAGATCTTCTTATGAGTGTATGGGACTGCTGTAAACCTTCTCCTGTTTATAAAAATAATACCTTGGAGCATGACACTTTATTCATAAAAGGTACTTTCAATATCATTTCTATGAGTTTGTGTTCTTTCTTTTTAATAATCTAGTGTTATATCTCCTTTAACCTCATTAATATGTATGCTTCCAACATCTTAGATCTGTCTGTATAGTTTCTTCAGCTCTTTGAACACAAATACCCTGATTCAATCTTTTGAGGTAAACATCATAGAGACATCATAGATGATTATCAGAGTGTATATATCACAATCTTGACCATAAGGTCAATTTAAATGGTCAAAGGCACAACAAATGAAAGTGAAAACTTTTTTTTTTTTTTATCAGAATACATAATTTTGTAATAAACAAACACTGGAAAGTTACTCTCATAATGAGCCTTAATGTCTTCCAAGAGTTCAGTTTGGACTTCCTCCATTAATCCTTGTATCTTGTAATCCTTGTATCTCCAATGGTTTTGTGGGCTAAAAATCATGTGTCTTTAACAATCTTTTTTTTTCTGACAACTGTTTTCTCTTATCATCTATAAACTTGACTTCTTCTCTAGTCAAAGGTCTTTCAGGGTAATCCAAGTAATTCTTACCCTCTTTTGGTAATAAATGGTTATATTCTTCATTGGCTTCTTCTGCAATCAAGGGTCTTTCTATGTAATCTCTGACAACATTAGGATCACCCTTTTCTGGACATAATTGGTTATATTCTTCTTGAGAAATGATCTCAATAGTGCCATCTTTTTTTATTTTAACTGGTATACCTCTGTCTACATCTTTCTCTGAAAGAACTCTCTTTTCAAACTGAATTTTACTCATTCCTTTACTCTTTTCTTTACTAGAGGTGTTACCCATGGTTAATATGAAAAGTCAAAATCTTATGTTACAACTTGTATTTATACCCTTTTTGTCTATATTTAGAATTCCATCAAGCTTATATTACATTACAATTTTTTTTTTCAACTAAGACATTATTTTTTTTTTATTTTTTCAGGATTCTCTAGTGAGGGCTTATGGAAATGATCTATGTCTACTCTTAGAATGGTGAAAGACTATCAGATTATGCAAAGACTAACAGAATATCCTCTCTTGGAACACTGAAACAAGAAAACCAAACTTAAGAGGATGGAGGATTTAAGAAGAACATAGATAAATATGATTTCCAACAAATTTAACCAGTACGATCATAGACTGTGGTTTACAGGATGACAAAGAAAGGACCCAGGATTGTATCTTTCACTGTCAGACACTGACTATGGATAAAGTGTAATCATTTATCAAACTGAGATCTAGTCAAATCAAGTATTGAAAATATGATTTTCTGATAGCATGAGCTCTTTAAAAACTAATTCTCACGGACCTCAAAGTATCTGAATGTGACTTTTATTTTTTACCAATTCATATTGAAGACTGTTGTTATGTATGGGAATTACACATTTAAACCTTTTATTTTTCAAATTTTTACTTTTATTTTTTAATGTTATTATTTAACTTTCCTGGAATTGTAAATATATTTTGTTTGTGTATGTATCATGTTTAATTTTGAATTTAAAATTTGTCTCACCCCCCAATAAAGAAATTCCCATAATCTTGTGCTACACAGATATCCAGATGCTGGATTTAATGTTATTATTTAACTTTCCTGGAATTGTAAATATATTTTGTTTGTGTATGTATCATGTTTAATTTTGAATTTAAAATTGGTCTCAATAAGACCCCCAATAAAGATGCAAGTGTCCCATAATCTGTGGTTTAATAATATCTTGAATATCTTTATCATACCATATTCATCATACTAATTACATATAGAATGGTTGTAGGAATACACTTTGTTGTTTAGGACACTTTGTCAAGGTCAAAGCATAAGATTATTGAGATGACTTCTTTGACAATAATTTGTAACTTACAAACTTCACATCATAAGTACACAGATGAAGAATCAATAAGATATTTCTATAGATTTTTTGGATCATTTACTCCTGGGTAAAAGTTTAGTTACTGAGATTACTGATTTGAGTCCTGTAATGCAATAACTTTAACATTGTGTGATAACTTATATACTTTATAAAAATTAGGTGCAAATTCTTAGGAAAGGATTGAAATGTTAATCAAATGTACAATGTTCAAGGGTGTTTATATGACTATTACTATGTAATACCTAGGGTTTCTGTAAAAATCCTATATTCACTACATAGATAAAGACCGGTATAATATATATTTTAAACTATGATGAAGGAAAAAAAAAAGGTCAAAAGCTCTCCCCTTCATATCTTTCATATTCTGTCATACACAACAATAGATAAATTGCAGTCATATAACAAACTGAGGTCTAATCAAATCCTAGAATTGATATTGTGATTTTCTGATAGTATGACATCTTTTAAAAAAAAAATTCCCAGACTTCAAAGTATCTAAATGTGACTTTTATTTTTACCAATTCATATTGAAGACAGTTGTTATGTATGAGAAGTATACATTTAAACCTTTTATTTTTCATCTTATTTCTACAACCCCTAACAAATTACACAGATGTTTAAAAGCTAGCTTTGGTGTAATTATTACTTTCCTGGAACTGTAAATACATTTTGTTTGTGTATGTGTGTGTGTCCTATTTTGAATTTAATAGGTCTCAATAGGACCCCCATAAAGATGTAAGTGTCCCCTGATCTGTGATGTAATAATATCTTGAATATTTCTATCAACCATTAGACTTCATGCTTACTACACAGAACAGGTTAGAGTAATACACTTAGTTTTATAGGACACTTTGTCAGGGTCAAAGCATGAGATTATTGAGATAACTACCTTTGACAATAATTTGTAACCTGCAAAATTCACATCATAAGTAAAGAAAGATTCGGAGATTTTCTATAGATTTTTGGATCATTTTCTCCTGGGTAAAATTTAGTTGTTGTAACTTTAACATTTTGTGATAACCTAAAGACTTTATATCAGCTCTATTGGGTGACATAGCATATTCTTTGGAAAGAATTGAAATGTAAATCATATGCACTATGTTCAAGGATGTTTAAAGACTATTACTATGTAATACCTTAGAATTCTGTAAAAATTTTATTATCACTGCGTAGATAAAGACTGGTTGGAATAATTTATGTTTTGAAATAAGGTTTAGGGAAAAAAGTCAAGAATGTGGATATGACTTTTATTCAAATGGTGCAGTACAGCAACTCTGGTGATTTACATACCTTCAGTCATAAATACATGTAGATAGGTATTGGGAAGACTCCTCTAGATTTTGAAATTTTTAATTCAAAAGTATAGAATTTTTTTTTTAAGTTTGAAAGATTAAATGGCAGCATATCATTTGCTTGTGAATTAAAAAATAAATCCAAACATATACATCTTTGGATGATAATTGTAGAATTTTATCAATTCCTGGACTTCGGTCTTGATATCATCCTTTAATGTCCTTAAAATTTTAATGACTGTCTTTTAGTTTTAGTTGAATTAGTTTCTTTTCTACATGTGAAAATGACATCATCCAAAGAAGTTCTTCATCTGCATGTTATATGAAGAAGACAATTTTCATCACAGTGAAAGAGATTGTTTTGTTAAACATAATGCATTGATGCACAAATATACTTTTAGATTTTTAATAGCTAGGGTTCATATTTCTTAATATGGAATGCTAAGTACTGTTGATTTCAATTTTTTGTGAACAAAGACATACTAGTAGAAAAAAAATGTACATGATGTGTTAGAAAAGCATGTGTAAACCTGATGACTTTATAATTGCTGATTAAATCAATTATGAGTTTCATCTTTGTTACATTGTAAACATTTCTAAGTAGGGCACACATCAGAAACTCTTAAAATTCTGAGTATCAGGGTTTAACACAACAATTCCAAATGATTTTTGGACGCTTTTTATGTATCAAAAAACAAGACAAAACAGAATGTTTGTTCACAGATGTTCCAATGGAAAACAATCACAAAGAAATGATTTGATATGTTCTTTATGTGATTCATGTAAAATGTATTTTAAAATTGTACCCTAACATTTATCTTTTGCATAAATACATTTTTTTTTTGTGGAGAATTTCTCATAACTTTGAAAAAAGTAGTCTTATTGTATAATATGGTTAACTTAAAATTTTGTAGACTTAAAAGTTGTACATGATGTGTTACACATCTTACATATGTAACCATTTCATTTCAGGGCATTCAGCATATATTGTGGTTTTGTGTTAAATTTGTTTGTTCATGTAATCAATAATTTGAGAATACTCAAATTAGGTAATGCATGAGAGAATAGGCAAGAAAATCAGGTTTAAGAAATGGTTTTTACTATTTATAAGGGGTTAATCTATATATTGAATCTATAAGTACATTTAGTCTATACATTTAAGGTATTTGTGTATGAAATAAACTTGTATTTGAGCATTTTAAGACAATTGTAAACATTACTTTAACCAGTTTAAAAAAATGATTAGATTCACTGTCAGCATGTTATTTCTTGTAAAATAAATGAGAAAACAAACAATTTTATTTGAGTCAGTTTTTTTAAATGTAAATAAGAAGCATTGGAAGTTGGGAATATTTCACAAAGTTGATTGAGCATAATTCTCACTAGGACAGTAGGAGTATTTTGATTTAAGCATTAAAGAAACCATTTCATATTTCAATATACAAACCATGTTTAGTCATGCAGTATATAGTTTACACTTGCCAAAAAGTAAATGGTATCTCTATTCAGGGTCAATCCAAAGGTCAAAAAGGAATGAAAAAAATATTTCTCTTTATGTATCAAACATGTAGGTATTATTGCAATAAATTCACTGTATTCATTTTTGTTCTCTTTCTATGTATGAATAGCTCTGATTTGGGCAATCAAAATACAAGAAGCAAATGAGTTATGTCAAATGTAATTGAAAATTACATGAACAGAGAATTTTGAGTTTCCCTCAAATATGGCCGCCAAGTGATGTGAAATAAAAACAAAATGTGGATTCATCTATTAGGATAGCAACTTGTACATATTATGAATGATGGATACTATGACATTTAGAATGATATTACATTGATTCAATTATTTAAACAGTTCTTTATCCAAACAGTCAAAATGGAGGACATATATTTTTCTTTATAGGCATAAAATATACTCTTTGAAGAAAAGGAACCTTACTTGCTTTTTTGTTGAGTTGACATTCATATTTTTGTGTTTAACAGGTAGACTAATGGTTTCTGACTAGTATAGTGAGAACTTGATTTAAGAATCATCAGATTGTTCTGATATTTTGGTTAAGATAACTGCATGACAACAATGAATTTGTTCATACAAAGGGATATAAGATTTTCCAGGTTTCCTCTTTACTCAGATTAGATTGTGTTCAACTAATATATCCAACATATAAGATACTCATCCAAGTTACACAAAGGTAAATAAATGACATTATTAAGGTTTTTAGTCTAAAGGTCAAAGTGACGAGGACATCTGCTAAATTTAATAGTTTGGATAATATTCATCAAACTTCATGGATAGCTTAATTAAACAAACTTCATAAATTTTGATTTTCAGGTCAAAGATCAGCACAATTTTTTTTTTATTTTTTTTTTTGCTATACCATTGTTGTCCATGAATATCTTAACACTTCTATTGATTTTTCAGGTTAAAGATCAATGTATTCCTGCTACAGTAAAAACTTCATTATAAGGATCTCATAGTGATATTTTTTATTTGTAAGGAATTGGGTATAAAATCTCCCACTCTTTCTATAATATGTCACTGAATGTGCTCCTTCATTTTAGAGAGTTTTACAAGCAAATCATATACTGACTTTCAATCCTTCAAAACACAATGTGTATATTAAATCTTGAGATTCAGACTTTCAGACTTTTAGGCTTTCAGACTTCGGGCTTTCAATCTTTAAAAAACTTTCAATCTTGAGGACTGAGTATTTTAATATCTATTTTGTAAGTCTTGTCTTTTATGTCATTACGATTAATCCTTAGTAATTCAAACTTTTCATATTTGTAAAACCAAAGTGTTGAAGTACAGTGTTTGTGTAATCTTCTTAATGTTTATCAAAAAATTACTGCTTTTAATACAGTCAAATATAATTTGTGATGATCAAAATTTCCAAATTGCCTGACCTATACATATTTAAAGTTTCAATATCATACACTCTTGAATATCCATAAATATCAATATATTGATTCAGCATTGGCTATCAACCATACATTGTTAAAAACCATTGGCTTTGATCTCTGACCATAACTTGTTAAAAGACCATAAAGGCTTCTTACCATAAGTTAATACTCATGGAATTCCTCATGCAATTTTGAAGAATCTCTGTAATAAAGTTACAGACATATACAACACCCAAGTAGTAATAAATTTAAAACTATATATCAAAAAATTTTCTTTTTACATATAACATGAAATTTCCAATATAATATATTTTCATTTGTC